GATGAACGACGATGTGCCTTGGTCCTAAGAGTTTACTTGAAATTTTTCAGATTAAATGTGCTAACATGAGCAAGAAACATTTGTAAGGCAATAATCAATGTATATGGCAATCGAAATCAATATGTGATCAGGAACTAAGTGTACAAAACAAGCTTTTCAATGAGGAAACAGGATAGAGATGGGAATTCAGTTGCTTCTGACAGAGGATGTGTTTCTGGGATGAATTAGAAGGTGAAGAGCTTGATTCCGTGTCGAAGGGAGCCACTATAGATTATTATAATGTCAAATTTATAAAGAATAACATGCGCATACGTACACGAATGTAGATGATGAACCTCTTTACCGTGTACTTTACGAATGAGAATACCTAAAGTAACCACAGAACCAGACAAGATCTATAAATGGGACTTATAAAAGGCGGGCGAGAATTCGATTAACTGATCGAATTTATTGTGGAAAGACAATGGGATTTTCGAAATATAATCACTATACAGAAATGTCTGTTAAAATTTGCACAGAACATGATGCTTGCTTCATTCTTACGCATCACGAATACTCCATGATCATCTTTATTTATATATTTAAAGAGTAACTGGGTTTTGACGAATCGTCTGAGATATCATTATCGTATTTAATAATATCCGAGCGCGAATATAGGACATCTTCAGCTCTGCCTGATTTATTATTCAGAATATTAAAAATAATTTAAATAAAAATTGCGGATGATAAGGAGCAGGGAAGCCTAAAGGTTAGACGGATAAAAAAAGAGAATCTAAATATGTAAGTACACACCTATAAAAGACAAGGAAATCTGGCTACGAAAACAAAAATGTGATTATAAAAACAGTTGTACTATCTGAAATTACAAAGCATAAGATGAGCCAAAGAATACTTTTATCTTACCTATCATTTTTACATAGCGGTTTGCAGACGAGTGTGCTTTGTTCTGTACAAGGTGAAGACATAAAAGTTGGTCTGTGCGATTCCTAAGAGCTATTTATCATCTGTCCCACCCTCAGAAGAGCTCAAAGGAACTTAAAAATGAATAAGATAATTGAAATAACCTCTAGCCAGGCAGATCTATAGTTGTGGGATTGCTGGCGATTGAGACTGAGGATAAGCGTTGCTGGCGCCAGAGATCGGCGTAATACGACCCTGGCCTCATCATTAAATCAGAATGTGTGCCTCTTTCAGTGACAAGTCCGTTGCGTAGGACTATTATTTCGTCTGCATCAACAATTGTGCTGAGACGGTGTGCAATTACCAATGCAGTGATACCCGAGGTGTTGTCTGCTAGGCGTCGGATCACGGTCTAAGTAGCAAAGCAAAGAAAAAATAGGAAGAAGTGGGAATAGTGACAGTAAGTTTGAGGATGAAAATAAACAAGATGTGAAAGCATCACAATCTTTTTTTCCTTATTCCAAAGACCAATCTATACCCCGAGCAGGTATTACGAAAAGGATAATGTCAAGTCTCACTCAGCATTGCGTCCCTCTTTAAGCATCACCTCAATTTTATAGCAGCATGATAGCCATGAAACTTTGAAAGTTGACAAAGTTCGGCGGTCATATCATCAGAGAAGGCAAAGCAAGTTAAATGAGAAAAATCCTCGAATAATTGAAAAATGCTTACACTCATATTGTTATATAAGAAGATGGAGAAGGGAGGGAAGGGAGTAACCAACGTTGTGTGCAAAGTAAATAAAGATAAATCGTTATTCATTTGTTATCTCATTAAAAAAATACAAGCAAGAAACTACGATATATGGCTTCAACAAAGCAAGCTCGATACATCATCAATAAATAGGAGAGGTTAAGGATGGATGAAAAATTGCTACCTCATTTGCTCTCGAAAAACATGGGCAAATCAGTGTAAAAATAGTTTCAGAGGACATGCCATTTTTTGAAAAACAATCTGACGATTCTAAGTCGGGTAGTCACTCTACTTTATCTTTGCATGTATGTATTTATGCAAGGGGTCCCTGAAGAATCATATAAAATAGAAAAGCAGAACGCATGGATTTGTGTCAGAATATCGGAACTAGCCGATTAAACGACCAATAAGTGATCTGATTAGGATCGCCTCCTAACCAATGAATTTTTGGCCAAATTCATATGCAATTCATAAAAATTCTTGACGGTATTCAAGAGTCTGTCATTTACTTTCTTAAACTTAAAGCGAATTAATTTCGCTAGTTTGTGCATTGCTCCATGCTTGTTGTGGACTATAAGTCTTAGAGGATTTCCTTCCTTGTTTATCTTCGGTAGTCCTTGGACTGTCGGTGGTCTTGCGTCAACATTAAACCAAATCAAAACAAGCTGTACCACAATATTTGTGGGTTGGCACACAAGAGACTAGGGAATGGCAAATCATAGACTTGGTATTAGGGATAGCGGGGACCGGAGCTAGTTGGTTGACGGTAGGTCTGTTGTACCAGAGACGTGGTACATGTAACAAAGGGGTGACCATGACACTCAGAGGCTTGTGCCTCAAATTAGTCAGCCAGACGCAGAGGAGGGCGAATAACGCCTCGAGTAGGACAGATGTGGTAGCAGGAGTCGAGTAAAATATGTGAACAAGGGTAAAGCAGACGGATTTTACGGAGCAAGAGAGAGACTGGGATAAGACTAGCAAGGAGGACTGCATAATAATAAAGCAGACTCTGATCAACATTCCCTGCAAAAGGATGAAAGGGGGGGAGAGAACGACAGTTGAAGTGTGAAAGTGTCATGTCGTTCAAAGGAGCACATCACACTAGCTAAATAAACACGGTAAAAATTGTAATAGTGAAGGCATGATAGGATGATACCGGAAATGCGAATAACCCAGGGCAGAAGGAGAGATACCAAAATTGTTTAGCACACGTTTGATCAAAGGATCAGCTTCACTTGTCTCTT